TCTTTATGCACAGCCCTAAGTGATACCTGAATGGGCAAATATAGTGACTTTCCATCCAAACACCCTAAGTGAGACAAAAATCTGCAATTTACAGCCCCCAGGTGAGACAACGAGCATCCTCATCACTTATATATGGGTGTTCCAGGACCACCGTCAGAGCCAATATCCAGCAATATTGACCTCATGGTTGGTCAATAAATAAATAATTAATAAATATAAATAATGATTTGGAGGTAGCACATCCACAAAGTGGTTCTTCGTCTACCTGATTCCAGGTCAAATTGGAATTTAGAAATGTTGGTTTTTAAGGAGAGGGGAAAACCGGAGTACCCGGAGAAAACCTCTCGGAGCAAAGGAGAGAACCAACAACAAATTCAACCCACATAAGGCGTCGACGCCTGGATTTTAACCCAGGCCTTATGGTGGGAGGAAAGCACTCTCACCACTGCACCATCCCTTGCTCCCCAATATACAATGCATTATATTATAATTTACCTTGTGACAGGCAGCATTTTTGTCATCCAAGCTCAAGGCCAACTTAGCATGTTCATGAGCTTCATAAGTAAATGCTTTTTTCTTTTCTGAATCAGTCATGGCTAATATTCTGCAGGCTCTTGCCAATCGCCACTCAACTTCTGCATTTTGCAAATCTTTGTATTTGATCAGCACGTCATACACTTTCTGTGCTTCTCCATTTTCATGCAACTCATCTGCCACCTTTAAATCATTTTCTAGCTCACTCATTCTGTTTGTGATTCTGAAGTGAATAAAATTTCCAACTTTTTTGCATGAATTCACTTACCAACAATATCCTGTGGATCCTGGACTAGCACATTAAAAGAGACCTTTTAGCTCAATCAAAGACAGCTAAAGATCTGGGTCACATTATAATTTTCATGTTTGTTATACACGCTAATAAGCCTTAAATTTAAGACTATCCAGCAAGCTTCAAAAAATAAAAGATGGAACCAAGAAAAAAAATTGTAAAGACTATGACTTGTTCCTAGAACAGAGCAACACCGATTAAACTATAAACATCCCATTCTAGTCCAAAATGTACTTCTTCTGACTATGTTAGTTCGTCCGTTGCATGCTGTTTCAAAATTACTTTAGGAATCCTTTTCAAGCAACGCCGCACGACCTTGCTTCTAAAAACGGCCATTTTGAAAACCGCTAAAACCTGGGGCTAGCTCTGAATAGACCCAAAAAAACTGTGCGATAAAAATACGAATATTGGCTTGGAGTAGCTCATCGAAATGAGTCAAATGAGCAGCTCCAAATGAATATTGGCTTCACCTAGACGAATTTCATTTGGAGTTGCTCATTTTGCCTGCTATAAAACGTGTTGAATCTTCGTTGATAGTCGTTAGAAAATCAGCAAGGCAAACAAGACGACAGCAACACCGACCGGGTTTCATCCGAGCGATTTACGCAGGATTACGTCACATGTTTCATTTGTATAAAGTTCATGTAAAATGAATTTAGGTACATTAACATTCTTCTACAAATAATAAAAAAAACATTAGCCGGGTTAAAAAATTCGGAGAAGATATAGTTTTCCCCATATAAAAGCAAGGGGCAAATCGTCCGGAGTCCAGGGTTCAAAATTTACCCGAGTGCAAGTCCACGTATCAATTTTTGAGGAGGACACAGATGAGATGCTTCTGAGATTCTGAACACTACATCTCTCCAAAGGGCTTTCTTACCGGGGCAGCAGTATAGTACCAGATCAAGGGCGAACCAGAGGCATAAGAACACAATCTGACAATCAATCTGACAATGGCAAAGTTCGTTCGCAAGTCACCTGACCAATGAGTAAATAAATTACGTCCTCTGCCCATAGGGAATATCCTGGAATATTTATGACACCAATGTATAAAATATCAGCAGTCCTCCGGCTTATCCTCCGGCCGGGAGACGCCTTAGCGACGCCCGGTTCCGTCCCATGAAGGGATATCCTCTCTTGTCTTCTGTCTTGTCACCTCCTCAATATGTAAACATTTTCATCAACAAAATGTAAGGGGCTGCTTCAACCGTCTTGTCTTCCACTTACGAAGGTCACTGGATTCACATCGATGAGGGTCTTTTTTGCTTTGTTTTTGTTTCTCATCAGGCCTTGTCCCCGGTCAAAGTCTACAACTCCTCGAAACGAGGTTGAAATCACCCCAGTTCCCTACCGAGGAGTTTCAAAATGGCGGCTGCTTTTCAGAAATTGCGATTTGCCTGGAGCTTTCGCGCGGTTTTTGCCGGGAGAGAATTTGTCATAAATACTCTTCATCAGGCTAAAACGAAAAACAAAGCTACAACGCACATTCGAAAGGGGGTATGTCTAGAATGGTTCTTCATGTTTTTTCTGGTATTTCCAAGGCTCCAACAAGTTATTTATTATTCACTTCGACACGAACAGATATGTGACAGATCAAAATTAAATTCAGGTTAAATTTTTTTATTTTTCTTTAAGTTCCTAGTGTTCGATTTTCAGTAGCTCGTCTAGATCGCGCAAAATAAGGCGTTTATCAATTTCAAAGTTTTTTGTCTATTGTTGTCTAAAACCTACATTTTTGATAAATTTCAATCTACAGTCAATCATTGGCGAACATTTTATGAAGATCTGACAAGGATAAAATCACTTTTAAAGCGATTGAAAAATATCGGTATGCGCTCTGAAAAAATATATCCAAACACCTTAAACCAAGGACAAAATTGAACCACAACACATCCACCGTATCAGGCCCGTAGGCTTGGGGGGTTCTGAGGGTTCGGACGACCCCCCACTGCCTGGAAAGGTCCCCTCGGTGGGCTAATCACAAATAATTTGACCGGCTTCAAACATGTCTCGCAGGTATAAAAAAATTACTGAAACCATATAATTAGCTTGTTATTCTTAAATTTCCCATATTTTGGGATCTGTGGCGGCTTCCAAATCTCGATGCTTTAGTTTTCTTTAGTATTCACTCCTTTTAGTGAACAAATATTTCAGTACACCGTTGGCTTTTGGTTGTTTCTGAGCCTGGAACCCAACGTCCATCTTTGAACGGTATTAAATGGCCTGAAAGGAGTGGTCGCCATGTTGTGCTTACATAGCATCGAGTGCATTGGCCTAGGAAATCGCCGTTGATTTGCTATGTTACTATGGGGCGTCGTGAGCAAAAAGAAAGAGAAAGAAAACGGGCAGCGGCTTCATGCCAAATGTTAGAAAGATTTCTGTCAAAAAAGTCGAAAACAGGTGAGGTGTCTTCAGAGTTAAATGATAGTTCAGTTCAGAATGCAGCCATCATTACAGACTACTCCTGCTAGGGACACCTCACCCCCCAGTACAAGTCAAGAATCTGTATGTAATGATTATTATGTCTGTCAGCATGAAGAGACCAGCAAGGTAGATATTGGTGAAATCTTTTACAAAGCGAAAACGCCGAAGGAATTTTCTTACGCAATGAAGACTCTAACCATGTCTCAAAAGTATCATCTCTTGACAATTCCCAAGGGGCAACTTAAAGAGAAGACATTCCCCACTCAGTACCTTGCTGGTTGCAATGATAGTTTTCGTTTAGAGTGGTTATCACAGCACCCCTGGATGATGTACAGTGAACGTGTTGATGGTGTTTTCTGTACAGCTTGTGCTATTTTCTGTTCCGATGCATCAAAAAGCAAGTTTGTCACCAAACCATTTCGAAAGTGGAACAAAAAAAGTGAGAAAGTTAAAGAAGGTCCGTTTTAAGCGAAAAAGAACCCACCCAGGCAAAAACCAGCCTACGGGCCTGGCCGTATGTTGCATCTTGATCAGAAGGCCGCGAAATGCACGACACCGACCTGCAAACGGTTTTGTGGTAAGTTTTCGCTCTTCATAGCCACAAAGAGCTTCAAAACGCGATTTTGGGCGAAATTCCCAGTGGCGAAAGGGTTAATAAATGTAGTCTTGGCGGTCATCTTTTCAGGGAAGGAAAGAAAAAAAGAAAAGGAAAAGCTTTTATAGCAAGGGATGGCGCAGTGGTGAGAGCGCTCGCCTCCCACTAATGTGGCCCGGGTTCAAATCCCGGCGTCGACGCCAAATGTGAGTTGACTTTGTTGTTGGTTCTCTCTCTTGCTCCTTTCTCCGGGTACTCCGCTTTTCCCCTCTCCTCAAAAACCAACATTTTCAAATTCCAATTCGACCAGGGATCAGGCGGACGAAGAACGACTTTGTGGATGCCCTACCTCCAAATTACTATTATTATTATGTAAAATGACTTCAATTTTTACTAATACAAATTCAGATTTAGGCTTTCCGAAGCCGTTCGTCGATATCCCATTCTATATGACAAAACCCTTAAAGAGTTTAAAGATCGCAAGATGAAATCGCAAAAACTTAAGATATCTCAGTTCACCTATAGAATGTTGGAAAGTTTACCTGAAATAATATTCCCTGTCACCCAACCCAAGCTCTTTGACAAAGTTATAGTAATGGCTATTGGCTCTTCTTGCTTCCTCTTGAAATATTGGGCGTACCCAACTTTTTCTTGACGCAGTTGCCTTGTTTGGAGACTTTTTCTTGCCTTCTCATTAGAAAAAACAACACAATGGCAAACGCCACGAGGAACGCCTCCGCCATTTTGTTTTCTTTACTGGACGTACAGTAATGTCGTTATGTCGATGTTCACATTTGCGACATAAGCATCCTATGGCTTATGTCGTTATGTCGCAAGTGTGAACCAGGCTGAAGTAGAATGAGGACGGCTATCTCGTGTTCCCGCCGAAATGACGCTGGCTCGCGCGCGTGCACTTGGTACTGAGAAATCTCGTACTCGTAGTCCTCGTATCAGAATCTAAAGCCCCCTATTATCAATTCCCGGCCTCATTCCACAAACTGTAAGAGAAATGGTTCCAAGCTTTCGGCGCAACACCACGTGGCGAGTTGAGTCGGGCCGCTATAGAGAGCTCATGAGAAGTAAAGGTTCTTGGGGAAATAGGAGTGTAGATGTGACACCATTTTTGGAGAACGAATACAACTTGATTCTTTTTATAAATTACTCATATTTAATGGGATATTTAAAATGACGTAACAGATTCAAAATTTGAACCTTCCATGAGCGGACTGGACTGCACCAGACTAACGTGTCCACTTGGTGGAGGTATTCATTTATGCCGCTGGAAGGTAAACATTTTGCTTTTAAAAAATCGTCGTCAACATCTTGTGAGCCTCACGCTGCGCCTAAGGATAGAAAAAAATGCAAGAGGGTGTTTTTGTGAAAGAAAAATATTTTAAGAGCATCTTAAAGTTAATTGTGGCAACATTTCAGGTGAAAGTTTCCATAATTACTTGTTAATTAGTCAACAAGACGTGGGAGCGTATATTGACGTATAAGTGGTCAAGCGACTGATTTTGGTATAGGCGGGAAGGCTTTAGAGTGGTTCTCGTCGTATTTGTCGGGACGCAGCCAGCGTGTTTTGTTTGAGGGAGCTACATCTGATAGCTTTGATCTGCGTTTTGGTGTCCCACAAGGCAGCTTTCTCGGCCCGCTTCTGTTTGTGGTTTACGCCTCCAAGCTCTTTGAGATAGTACAAGACCACCTGCCGAATGCGCATTGCTTCGCTGACGACACGCAACTTTACTTGTCTTTCGATCCTAACAGTCCTACGGATCAAGCGATGGCATTGGAAGCCATGGAGCGATGCATTAGTAATTTACGTAAATGGATCTACCGGGACAAACTAAAGATCAACGATGACAAGACTGAATTTCTTGTTATCGGATCGAGACAACAGTTGAGGAAAATTTGTCACTGTTCTGTCCGTGTTGGCACTATTGATATTAAGCCTGTTAAAGTAGAGCGTAATCTCAGTGCTTCGTTAGACTCGCATTTTTCTATGTCGACCCATATTTCATAAGATAAATAGGCTAAGATCAATTAGCTAAAATAAATTATCAAGCTGCCGAAATACTTTATATATGGCCACTCATTGCATGTCATTCCCCTAAAGGTACAGCAACCATATTTTACGTCAATAACTCGTGATAGTAATAGCTGATAAACTTGAGGTCGACTGTGTGCTCACCCCCCCCAAAAAAATTAACCCTGCTAAGCGAATAATCGTAAGTCAAAACAGAGCACGTTTCCTGTAATATGACATTTAAAAAGTCATTCCTCACGAACGCAAACACCTTACAGCAGGCATGAAACTCGCTCAAACTCTTGGGTGAGATCCAAACCCGTTTTAAATTCCAAATATTTTTGACAGATTTAATCCCTGGATTTAATACTTCCACTTTTCTGAAAAAACCGTCCGGTTTTAAGGTGAGGTAAAAAATACCCTAAGCTTCAGATTAAGTTTATCTTGTCCTCCAAATTGAAAATTATCTTTGCGTAGCTTTAACATGTTCATCGCTTTAAATTTCTTTGTTGAAAATTGTGTTTCTTTGTTGCAAGGGTTTTGAGATCGTGAGAGTGGGATCAAGTACTCTGCTAGCAGAGCTTTCTTTCTGGCATATATTTTTACCTTGTACGAGTCGTTCGCGTGGCCTGTTTACGTTCGCACGTATTGCGTGTCTATTGCAACTTTGAATCAAAACAAGCGATCTCGAAAACTCTATTTGGGTGACACCCAAACAATTACATGAGATTCGTCAAAGAAAGGAGAAAAAAAATTGCTTCCAAGAGGACCCTTTTTTAAAAATACAAAGGAGCAGGAGGGAAAGATGAAGAAGCGAAGAAATTTATGGCACCTACCTCCAGATCTTCCACTGTCTTGCAAAAACTACGGGTAGCTTTTTCCAGCCATTTCTTTGCTTCGTCCATTTTTTTCATTCTAAGAAATACTGTTCCGAGCATCAGATCATTTTTACCAGAGAAGTTTGGTTCCACTAGTGCGTACAAAAAAAAGAGTAAATTAATATGTCTCCTGCATTTTTGGCCTGCAGAACTGGCACTATTTTTTCGCGTTTTTCAGGCGAGCACGAAGCGGACGTGGAGCGCTGGGGAAGGCGCGGAAAAATAACGCCTGTTCACGCACTATTGTTTTTCCGCGCCTTCACTAGCCTGAGAAAGCAGCCGATATTTCCCGACGCCACCACTGGTTTCCCCGCGAAAGGACGTCTGAGAAACGAGCGCAGAAATTCCATACTGATGACGCAATACTCGTGCCGGGGGGGGGGGGAAATTTGCTTCAGCCAATCAGAAGCACTGCCCAGGTCTGGGTAGTGACACGTCATCAGTATGGAATTTCCGCGCTCGTCTCTCAGACGTCATTTCGCGGGGAAAAAAGTGGTGACCTCGCGAAATGTCGGTTGTCTTGTCAGGCTACGACTTCCCCCATCGAGCGTGTCTCGCGCTCCACGTCCGCTTCGTGCTCGCCTGAAAAACGCGAAAAAAATGCGCCAGTTCTACAGGCTAAGTAACTTTTGCCGGGAGCCCAGTCCCATGGACTTCAAGCACTGCACCGCATCCTGCAAACGCTGTTTGATATCCCCAGCGCAAGAATCAAGCTATTGTTTATACTCGCGTAACTATGATATTACATTCGAAAGATAAACTTTAGGCAAGAAATTTGTTAGAACAGACCACGAAAATAGAAATTGAAATGGTATGGGTAATTGTTGACAAACAAGAATCCGAACAAAATGAAGGACATTTTAGATTTTTAAACAAGAATTCTTGCGAACGTAAGCTATACAGTGGATCTTTGACATAAAGAAGGGCCAAGGGACTGGTAAAATATGTTCGCTTTCTTTTGATCTCTTTCGGCACCAAGTTTGAGGTTTTAAGTTGGACACTTACGTAAATGGGCTGTGTCATCATGATATTTGTAATCTTTTTAAAAAGCTAAAACGTGTTCTGCATAAACCGAATTCCAAAAATAGTGGTCCAGTTTTGTTTCCTCAGTCCCAACCTCTTATGAGGAAATAGTCTAGTGTCCTCCAGGGGTTAGGGTTAGGGTTGACACTAATCCTAACCGTAAAAGAGCATTCTTTTAAAAAAAAGATAGATCCCCAACCCCGACCCAGGCCCCGACCCTGCGTTTTAACTATTTCCATACTTACTCTCTTCAGCTTTCTGAAAATGTTCTAACGCCTGTTAAAGGGAGAAAAAAAATTGGCGGTCAGACGGACCGGAGATAAATACAGCAATATTTTTTTAAAGTTCTTTTAGAGTACCATTACGTGACCATTACTCCCTTGAAACTGACCACATATGTAAATTACCTAGAAAGAATTTATTTTCCTTCAATATTAAAGGTAAAAGAGTGGATGCCTCAAAAAAAGGAAACTATCAGGCTGTTTCATATTTTTATAAAATAGCTCTTGTGCGCGAACCAAGGTTTTTTGTAGTTTTGAAAAGCGCCACCTGACACGGTAATCCCAAAAAGTAAAATTGATTGGCTTATTTGTGTGACTTAACAAGTTTTTTCGCTTCTTTTACAAAGTTATCATCCAACTGTTTTTTCTTTCGTTTTGTTTTTTAATACTATAATTATTATAAAACACCCCTCTAAGAAAGGAATATCACAGCCTATAAAAATCGACAACCAACACAAAGGTACATTAAAAACCGATGAATACTAAATGAATACTAACACGAAAAAAAAACGAGAAAAGGGGCATATTCCAGGGGCACTAAACGACGGTTTCCCCCTAGCCTGCGTCGCTGGCGGTATTTTGTGGGTTCGAGATTTAAGTTTTGGCGGCGGAGCCGTGTTCCGAAAAAAGGGAGTAGGGACGAGTGACGGCTCCGCCGTCAAATCTCACTCGAATATATTACAACGGCTCCGCCGCCAAATCTCACTCGACTACTACACAATACCGCCAGCTACGCAGGCTAGTTTCCCCCAAAATTCATTGAAAACACTTTTTAGGCTATCTAGAGTATTTCAAGACCTCTAGAAATGCATTCTGAGTGGCGCCATAAAATTTCTAACTGTTTGGTGATCCTAAGGGAACTTGAGGCTTTTCGAAATTACAAGGGCTTCAGTATTATTTCGTAATATTTGTATAGGTAATAGCATGATTAGAAGTGATATTTGGCATAAATACCACGAGTGATATTTCGAAATTGTTATACGTAATTGCGAGTGAAATTTGAGACAATTTTGAAATACCACGAGTGGTATTTTTGCCAAATATCACGTACAAATCATGCTATTATTTGTTTATACTACTACCTGCAAACGGTTTGTAATTTCACATGTGGTATTTCAAATTAAGCTGAAAAACCACTGCTCTAAGCCAATCAAATTGCAGAAATTTCTCATGTAGTAGTATAATAGATGTAATTTAGCGCATCGCGAAAAAGAAAATTAATTTTTTGATTCCTCTCTCCATCACATTTTTGAATCCGAAAATTTTAGGTTTCCTTTTTCGTACACAAAATAGCCTAACCTGGGGAATGAAATGTGAAAAATCAAACTCCAGAAAATCGCAGGAAATGTATTTGATGAGCTTCGAAAATTGTACATGAATGGAACGGTCATCTAGCAATATTTTTAGCCCTCCTCAAGTAATAGAAAATTCTAAGCAATATTTGCTTCTCCGAAGAGATAATTTACAGAAGACAGTTGATGGGTGCCCCAGATATTCATAAATCTCAATGTACTTTACAAAAAAACTTATGAATGCCCTTGAAACTGTTCAAAAATTGTAGCTTTCCGTGACTGAACCATTTCAAAGCCTGGAAAGACAGAGAAACAGATAACTGCAAAACTGAGAAACCACTCTCCTTGTTTTAAAAAAATGAAAACCGAATGTTCAGTAAAGGAAGACGAAACAAAAGCAGACAACTATTTAGATCACAAAAACTTGGGCAGATCAAATATCATTTCAAAATTCTTATACAATGTTCTTAAATAATTTTTAACCACAATTCCAATGCCCCCCCCCCCCGCCTGGAGCTCCTTACCTCTTGATATGTAGATGTTGGTAGCGACCCAAGGATTTTCTTTGCAAATTTTCTGGTAGGCCAGCTCATTTCAGCAAAGTTAAAGTACCTGAATGTTATAAAATATAAATATTATGAAAAACGCTACTACACACATATGGCTATGAGTTAACAAAATTAATGATGATACTTACCAGATACCAAGGAAATGCTGGCAGATGGGATCTTTTGGATCCAATTCTGCCGCTTTCTGTTTAAAGGTAATTAAAAACATATTTAGTACCATATTGCCTCTGAGGCCCAGGAGCTTATCTGTGTAAAACAAGTCACCTTTTAACTAATACAATCTGTAAGCACATGGACAAAGGGGTTTTTGTTACTGAAGCTTATTTATTGGTAGCCTGTGAATACAACTGCCTTTTATCGTTTCTTGGCTCTGGGGACATTTTGCCTGAGTGATAACGTCTCCATTGCAAAAGAAGCTGCTTCATTCAAGACAATAATTTTTTGGAGAAGAAACTGTTTTCCGGTTTTGTCAGTGTGTTCAAATGAATTTTTCTAGATGAGGCTGATGTTCCTGAAAAAGGCAATAAATAATTATAGGTTGCATCAAAATTAATGTTTAAACAGTTTCATTAAAATGTCATTGTTGTTACTGTTGCTGTCCGTTTTTACCCAGCTACTACTGAACACCTAATACCCCGGGGGTAATCCTGCAAATAAGAGTAACAAGCAAGTACTTTGTACCAAAATAATAATAACAATAATAATAATAATATTAAGAATAATAATAATACAATTATAATTTAGAATTTATATTGCGCAGTTTCATGACGGGATGATCAACTGCGCATTACAAAAATACACAAAATAAAAATAACTAAATGATAAATAAGATATCACATGATATTTCGCCAGTACAGACATGCGCTTTAAAGAGCAGAGGGCGATTCGACAACGATGGAAAAACCCAGGCCATTTTATAACCCGTCTCTTACTGAAACCTTAAAGGAAGGCTAGGTAAAAAGCCTTACTAAAAGGTACGTCATTAAAAGTTTTGCTAAAAATAAATGAAAATAATATAGTTGTGTTAGGTATTAAGTAAACCTAACTAAGAATGAAAAGCCTTACTGAAAAGATGCATCTTTAAATTTTTTTTTAAAGTGTCAAAAAATTTGACAATTCCAATTTCTGGAGGTAAATCGTTCCAGAGTTTAGATAGGCACCGAAGCAATGACAGCACGGTCGCCCAGGGATGTTAAAGTTTTAAAATTCGGGTGAGACAGTGGTATTCCGTCACTAGATTCAGGGGCAGATCTAGGGGGAGGGTGCAGGGGGTGCGCACCTCCCCACCCCCCCAAGATGACCTGCGATTTTCTAATAAAACTGGTATTCTGCTCTATGTGGTTTATTGGTGTCGAAGTAGAGCAAGAGACGAGTGCACCCCCTCCTAAAAAAAATCCTGGATCCCCCCCTGAGATTACAGTCTATATAAAGCCAATTGCAAACCTGGCTGGATTAGCTGTACTAATTACTTGCTTGTTGAAGGAGAAAAGCATTGGCATGGCCTATACAAAAACCTACTGGCCTACAAATTAAATGCCAAAATACTTACCACTTGTCAAAATGTGCCTCTTTTATATTAAGCTATTTTTTCCAATGTCAAAAATGGGCATTTCTCTCTACCACTGATTATAGAAGGGATGAAGTTAATGAATACAGAAATCTCACCTCTAAATGTTCCTTGACGGTGGTTGAGTTCTCAAATTTATACTTTGCTCCTAAGTAGTCACCAACAAGTGAGACTGAAATTCCAAACCACTGTAAATGAAAACAGAACAAATGAATGTATGGTGATTTAGTGTATAATGCACTGTTCTCCTAATTTTCAGACCAGAAGAGAGGTTCTAAGACGTCCACGCCTGGGGCCTGTTTCTCAAATAATTAGTCCAGGCAACTTTTTGGGTCCAAAATCAAACATGTAAATCATAGTCTAAAGAATAAAAGAGCAAGTCTTAGCTGACAAACTAGCTAGTCCATTTTGTTTTGCTTACTGATAGTTAATCATGTTATCTGCAAAACGATCGAAACTTCTACCCTGTGTAAAATAACAACAGATTTCCAGGCCTATTAATATTATTATCAGGACTTTTGTGAAACAGGCGTCTGGGTTGTTCAGAGGATATTAAGTGCTAATCCAGGTTTTTACTTACCACTGAGGGCTCCAGAGCTAAAACACTGTTAATGGCTCTATACCCTCCTACCCAGACATTCTTAGGGCTTTGTCACACATTCCTTCCCACCTTGACCTCATGGTACCCTAGCTCCAGAGGTAGGTCCATTCTCAAAATACCTAAGAGCGCCTCGCCCCTTGTTGATGTGGCTTCGCTGCGAATGATCAGTATCGATAAGAAAAAAAATATCCTCTGGAACACAGGGTAACCTCATGGTTGGTCAACAATGCATCACATACAATTTACCTTGTGACAGGCAGCATTTTTGTCATCCAAGCTCAAAGCCAACTTAGCATGTTCATGAGCTTCATATGCAAATGCTTTTTTTTTCTTTTCTGAATCAGCCATGGGTAATATTCTGCAGGCTCTTGCCAATCGCCACTCAACTTCTGCATTTTGCAAGTCTTTGTATTTGATCAGCATGTCATACACTTTCTGTGCTTCTCCATTTTCATGCAACTCATCCGCCACCTTTAAATCATTTTCTACCTCACTCATTCTGTTTGTGATTCTGAAGAGAATAAAATTTCCAACTTTCTTGAATGAATTCACTTACCTACAAGATCCAGAGGATCCTGGACTAGCTCATTAAAAGATCTTTTAGCTCAATCAAAGACAGCTAAAGATCTGGGTCACATGAAAATTATTTTCATGTTTGTTATACAAGCTAATAAGCCTTAAATTAAAGACTATCCAGCAAGCTTCACAAAATCAATCAATAATTTATTTACCCACATTATCGTCTAAGAGCACAAGTGCTCGTTCAAAATACAAACGTGCATTAAATCTACAATTATAATAAAAATCTAGTATTAAAAAAATAATAATAACAATAATAAAAGTTCCTCATAAAATTAAGATTAAATTTCTGGGGAACCCAAAGATAAATGCCATTTCCTCTTAAATTGTAAGACGTTTCTCTTACGCTAAAAAAGTCTCTAATGTATTTTGGCCCTATATTCCTAATGCATTTAAATAATAGGATCAGAGATTGCTACTTTTTCCTACACTCTAAAGTGTCCAACTTACATATATTTAAGAGCTCTTGGTAAGACAATGATTTCCCGTGCCCTGTCAGAGTCCTAAATATATAATGATTGGCGTCTTCAATTTTATTCGCCTGGACTTTCCCCATCCCTAACAGGAGGGGACCACAGTATTCTAGATTTGGTAAAATGAAAGATTTGTATAATGCTAGCATAACATCCATAGGTACAAAATGCCTAATTCTCCTAAGTGCGCCGGTCTTCGCATACGCCTTTTTTTAGCTGACTAGAAATATGTTCTATAAAGTTTAACATGCTATCAAGTTCCATGTCCAAGATTCTAATAGAGAGAAGTTTAGTAACGCCAGAACCATTCAAAGTTAAGTCAAAATCGTACTTGCAGGGACCGATCGGAAGGGCTTGCGTCTTGGCATTGTTTATCAACAAATAGTTTGCATCGAACCACTCCGACAGGCGGCTGAGAGCCCGGTTCACAACAAATTGCAGGGCAATGGGAGAGACATCTGATGCATACAGAGTCGTGTCATCCGCGTATAATCTCAAAGACACGTCCGGGACCGCATAATTCAAGTCATTAATGAATATATTAAACAACAGTGGCCCGAGGAGGGACCCCGGTGGAAGCCCCGCCTTCAACTCTGAATAACTTGAGCAAAATAAAAGATAGAACCAAGAAAAAAATTATAAAAGCTATGATTTGTTCCACGAACAGAACAAAACCGATCAAACTATAAACATCCCATTCTAGTCCAAACTGTGTTCCTTCTGACTACGTAAGTTCGTCCGTTGCATGCTGTTTCAAAATTACTTTAGGAGTCCTTTTCAAGCAAGACCACTTGACTTTGCTTCTGATAATAGCCATTTTGAAAAACCGCCAAAAACCTGGGGCTAGTCCGGTCTCAAAATACCTAAAAAGAAAAATATATGCTCTGGAACCCAGGGTAGGGCTAGCTCTGAATATGGAATTTTTGGAATAGCTCATTGTGCGATAAAAATAGGAATGTATTGGCTTCACCTAAACAAATTTCATGTAGAGTAGCTCATTTTGCCTGCTATAAAATGTGTTGAATCTTCGTTGATAGTTGTTAGAAAATCAGCAAGGCAAAGAAAAAAAATCGAAAACAGCTACACCAGCCGGGTTTCATCTGAGCGATTTACGCAGGATTATATGCGTCACATGTTTCATCTGTATGAAAGTGTTCATGTAAAGCGAATTTAGGTATAGTACATATAAAATACTTCTTAAAATAAAAAATATATATATTAGCTCGGTTAAAAAAAGTCAGAGAAGATATAGTTTTTACCATATAAGAGCAAGGGGCAAATCGTCCGGAGCCCAATACAGGAAATATCCAGGGTTCAAAATTTACCCGAGTGCAAGTCCATGTGTCAATTTTTGAGGAGTACACAGATGAGATGCTTCTTAGATTCTGAACACTACATCTGTCCAAAGCGCTTTCTTACCGTGGGCAGAAGTATAGTGCCAGATCAAGGGCGAACCAGAGGCACAAGAACACAATCTGACAATGGCAAAGTTCGATCGCAAATCACCTGACCAATGAGTAAATAATTTACGTCCTCTGCACAATAGGGAATATTTATGATACTAGACTGCGAGCAGTCCCTCAGGATGGTCACGCGAGCGAGGAAATCGAGGGAAGCGAGCGAAAGTAAAAAGCAAGAAGCCGAGGGGAAGCTCTCGGCCATTTCGCTCTCTCCAGTCCTGTCGAGCTTAGACTCGACTGACTGAAGAGGGACTGCTTGAAATATCAGCAGTCCTCCGGCCGGGAGACGCCCCAGTGATAGACTGCTTGCAGTCCGACTTTTCTCTTAAAATCCGTCTAGTTCTTGATCTCATCCAGCGCGATTGCAAACCACGATGTTATGTTATAGGGATCGAGACGAGACGAGAGAAGACGTGTGGTGAGATTGCAAGCAATAAAAATAGTCGCGTACGCGTCACAAACAACTGCAAACAATAGCGAACCAAGCAGTAATAGAAGGAAACTGCTGTAAATTTCCTCCAGGGAAACGAATTCAAGGCCGGATTTAAAGAAAGTGTAAGATTTTCAGTTGTTTATGTAATTAAATTACCTTGACAGCTTCGTTGTCCCCAGACAGAACAAAAGAGTCCGCAGTCTCTTTTTTTTTTTTTCTTTCTCTTTCTTCTCAGGCTTACGCCCTTTTTTCGCCGCTCGCGTGCTTAGGTTTTGCGTGTAATAAAGAATCAAATCTCGCACTTGACTATTTTTCCTTAACTGCCAAATTTCTCTCTGTTCATAGTAAAAAACACTAATCTCGCACTTAACTATTATTCCTTAACTGCTTAATTTCTGTCTGTTTACATGAAAGAACACAAATCTCGCACTTAACTATTTTTCGTTAACTGCGAAATTTCTGTCTGTTTATAGTAAGACTCAAATCTCGCAGTTAACTATTTTTTCCGTAACTGCGAAATTTCTCTCTCTTTACATGAAAGAACTCAAATCTCGCACTAAACAATTTTTCCTTAACTGCGAAATTTCTCTCTGTTTACATGAAAGAACACAAATCTCGCACTAAACAATTTTTCCTTAACTGTGAAATTCCTCTCTGTTTACATGAAAGAACTCAAATCTCGCACTAAACAATTTTTCCTTAACTGCGAAATTTCTCTCTGTTTACATGAAAGAACACAAATCTCGCACTAAACAATTTTTCCTTAACTGTGAAATTCCTCTCTGTTTACATGAAAGAACACAAATCTCGCACTAAACAATTTTTCCTTAACTGCGAAATTTCTCTGTTAACATGCAATGAAAGAACACAAATCTCGCACTAAACAATTTTTCCTTAACTGCGAAGTTTCTCTGTTAACATGCAAGAACACAAATCTCGCACTAAACAATTTTTCCTTAACTGCGAAGTTTCTCTGTTAACATGCAAGAACACAAATCTCGCACTAAACAATTTTTCCTTAACTGCGAAATTTCTCTGTTAACATGAAAGAACACAAATCTCGCACTAAACTATTTTTCCTTATCTGCGAAATTTCTCTCTGTTTACATGAAAGAACACAAATGTCGCACTAAACAATTTTTCCTTAACTGCGAAATTTCTGTCTGTTTATAGTAAAGAGACTCAAATCTCGCACTTAACTATTTTTCGTTAACTGCGAAATTTCTCTCTGTTCATAGTAAAAAACACTAATCTTGCACTTAACTATTTTTCCTTAACTGCGAAATTTCTGTCTGTTTATAGTACAAGACTCAAATCTCGCACTTAACCAGTTTTTCCTTAACAAGTTAATTTTAAATTAAATATAGCTTACAAAGCTTGTGCCTGCAATTTTAATAGCGAAGGCTATTCGAGGCAGGTACAAGAGAAAAAAGAAAATTCTATAAATATATTTAACGAACAATCCTAGAAGCAATCTAGTTTGTCGTGTGGTTTATAGCCAGAGTCAGACAGGAAGGCAGACTGTACTTCATAGGGAGGACACTTTACACAAATTAGATATTTCCCGACACAGACCAATTTGTGGTCTTTTTCCAGCTGAATGTCAGCTGGAATGTCAGTCTTTCAGGCTCTGTTATTTGCGAAACATTTTCCCTGTTTTTGCTGTTGGGTGAGTGGCAACAAGCTCAACTCCAAAAATGCTAGAAAGCTTCAGTATCATGGCCATCGATTTGTGGGTACTTAGTACTTAGGAAAAGAGACGAAAAACACAGCTGAACACGTCTTCATGAAGAAAATCTTTCTTCGGACGTGCGTAAATAAAGATTTTGTTCTTAGCAGCTCAATAGGACTTATATAAGGCTAGCACGCGCGCTAGGCAATTTATGAACCTCGAGTTTTTCCTCTTTTTGCTTTCCAAATCAAGTTAGTTTAATCGTTAAACTTACGTACGCATAAGTAGACTTCAAACAGAGAATCTGATAGTAAATCAGTAGTAAATTAAATATCTACAAGAGCAATAATGGGACCCATTATGACACACTAGCGATCTCTTTGAGAATCTAATGAAAAAATGAGGCGGCCCCGCCGATGTTGCTGTTGATAACTGCCAGACAATGGCTGGTGAAAATTGCTTGTCCCCAGTTCAAGAATTCATTTGTTTCAACTTACAAAAGATTTTTTTTTGGTAAAGAAATCAGAAAAGCCCAGCCATTTTCAGGAATGCTTTGCCCCGCTCACCTGGAATTTCGGACATCTCCCTCTCAAGTTTGTCTTTTGTCAGTGGAAAGGGTCTGCAACACTTTTGAGTTACGTGAAGCATGATAAATTCGCAGTTACCTGAAAAATGGTTTACTGCGAGATTTGTGTTTCTTACTATAAACAGAGAGAAATTTCGCAGTTATATCGACAAATGGTTAATTGCGAGATTTGTGTTCCTTAATATTAACAGAGAGAAATTTTGCAGTTAACGGAAATGATTAACTGCGAGAGAGATTTCTGTTCCTTCATATAAACAGAGACAAATTTCGCAGTTGATGAAAAATGGTTAGCTGCGAGATTTGGGTGTGTTACTATAAACAGAGAGAAATTTCGCAGTTAATGACAAATTGTTAACTGCCTGATTTGTATCAGTATATATATATATGCATAGTATTTTTTTACTAATTTCACTTTTCACTGAGATAATTAATTGCGAAAGTTTGTCGTCTATCTGAAGACATACTTAAATGCAAAATTTGCATTTATATCTAATTTATCAAATCACCGGTTCCGGGAGGAACAGGCTACGTTTCGTCGGTCGCAGGCCAACACCTGTTCACTTTTTAAGACTTGACCGAAACCGGCGACAGCCCATGAAAAGCCTCTGGCACCCAGGGTAGTCCCCTTCCCGGGGGGGGGGGACTCCGCATATGAAAGGGGTGGGGATGTTCGTCGGAAATTTTGAATTAAACCCCTAAAGGAGACCGATCTGGGCGTGGCCCAAGCGTTTTTTGACCCCTAAAAGAGACGACAAAAATATACATATCAAAAATATATTTTTATATTTTTCGCCCGCAACCCTAAACGAGACTACTGCTAAATATGATGGCGTTTTGCCCAGAACACCCTAAGTGAGACCAAAATCCGAAATTTCCACCCTTAAGCGAGACGACGAGCATCCCCACCCATTTCATATGTGGAGTCCCCGGATCCCTCCCCCCCCGGTGCCCTCCTCAATATGTAAATATTTTCAAAATGTAAGGTGCTGGATCAACCGTTTTGTCTTCCACTTACGAAGGTCACTAGGTCACAGGATTCACATCAATGAGAGTTTTTTGCTTCGTTTTTGTGTTTCATAGACCTTACAGGGCTCAAAGTTTAAATATGAGTTTGGGAGCACTTGTGCTACCAGATGTAAATTCTTAGGCGCACTGCCGAAATTTTAGGCGCACAGCCGAAAATTTTAGGAGCACAGCTTATAATGTTGGGAGCATCTATTTCAAAAGAAAAAGTAAAGTTTATTTGTCATCTTCAGTTTCTTACTTTTACTTCAGTCCTGTGATTGACACACAGCCGATTTGCTACGCAGTAATACCGTTGTTATTTTTAGTACTAATTTCTCTTTTTGACAGTACAGTTGTGACTAAAGAAAACTTACACTTGAAAAACAATTCAAAACTGACAACAATGAGTGTGTCGAACAAGAATGAAAATTAATCTTTAATGAATTTGTTAAATGCGCAATGACTTACATGTAACTGGAATACGAAATAAAAAACTTTCTTACCTGAAAAAAAGGCTCTCAATCCGCAATGGGTTTTTTTTTGATTGACGTTAAAACTGAACGTTCGACATGATCGTCCATTGCGCAAAAAGTACGTGTTTCGTTCGTATCATATACCGGTATTTGCATGTGTCAGCGATGTTTATTACAAAACAGAAGAGTCTGGGATGGAGTAACTAAAACATTGAAACGAAAAAGAACATTCGAGTTCGTAGAATCCATTGAGAGAAAAGACCAAGTAAACATACACCGTCTTTCTAGTTCGAGTTCGTAAATATAGTCGGAAGTAAGTCAGTCGCACTGTGCTTTGGGTTTTACGGCGCACAGGTGCGATTGCACATGAATTTTTAGGCGCACAACCAAAAATCTAGTCGCATATGCGACCAGTTAGTCGCTAACTTTGAGCCCTGCCTTATCGAGAGACCCCGGTCAAAGTGACGGTCAAAGTCCAATACTCCTCGAAGCCCCAGTTCCCTACCGACGGGTTTCAAAATGGCGGCTGCTTTTCAGAAATTGCGATTTGCCTGGAGCTTTCGCGCGATTTTTGCCGGGAGAGAATTTGTCATAAATACTCTTCATCAGGCTAAAACGAAAAACAAAGCTACAACGCACATTCGAAAGGGGGTATGTCTAGAATGGTTATTCATGTTTTTTCTGGTATTTCCAAGGCTCCAACAAGTTATTTATTATTCACTTCGACACGAACAGATGTGTGACAGATCAAAATTAAATTCAGGTTAAATTTTTTTAACCTAGGTTGATTCTCTATCCTATTTGTGTACTAGCCCTAATATTATTCATGAATTAGGGCTAGGAGACAAAGAAAACCAACCAAGGTTAAAAAACTTCAACCTGAATTTTATTAAGACTTAAGCTTGATTTCGACCTGTAACAGATACACTGTGTACAGCGTTTAGTGGTCTTTTACTCGCTTCTTTTGGCATTTTGTAGAATAACACTTTGGTTTGTCTCGATTTGTCAAACCTGTATTTAATGGTCAGCCTATATTAAGCAGTGAGTAAGCTCTCTCCCAAGCCCGTCTGCAGAGTATGGCAGAACTCAATGAGATATCGCGCGTGCAAGGCCGTTTTTAGGCCCTTATTGCTTATATATTTTTTAAAAAAACTTGCGCGTGCACCTGCCATACTCTGCAGACTGGCTTCCAAGGGTGTGCACATCGCTTAATACAGGTTTGACTGTAGGAAGTCCAAGGAGGTGTTTTCTCTTTTTAACATTGTTTCTGTTGTCTCAACACCTAAAACAGGTGAGTATGTGTTTAAACATAGAAACACGTTTATTGCAAAATAAATAAATTGAAACCAGCCAAATAGGTAAAAAATTGTATAAAATAATGAGAACCAGCAGTGTAATCTGTTAATGCTGCAATGAACTAGCATCCCATTTTATTCATTATCATCAGTGTTTAAAACACGTCTCTTGCATGTAGGGTTTGTTTTACATTATATCAAGATGATCATTTTCTTGTAGGCCTATATCCTGTGTAAAAGGCTGAGACAGACAGCTCAACCAGGAACAGTAGTACCTCCATTACTTTCCCTTGGTTGGTTTGGAACTTCAAAGCCTCAGGAAACTTCATCTTTATCAGAATCTACAAACAAATTGAGTCAATTAGACAATGATTTGAAGACTGCTGATGAGTTGTACGACAGCAATGAAACACAAAAAGCGTATGAACTTCTTAACAAACACAAAGATTCCAAGAGTGCAGATGTAGAGTGGCGATTAGCCAGAGCATGTCGAGTGCTGGCAGAAAAAAGCAAAGACTCAGAGAAGAAGAAAGCATTAACTTATGAATCATTGGATCATGCTAAACTGGCTTTGAGTATAGATGAAAAGAATTTTGCTTGTCATAAGGTGAGGGTCATCATATTATAAAAATAGAAAGAAATATTGTTATTAGTATTATGTAGAAGACAGCATCTTTGCAATTACAAATATCAAGGTAAATAATAGAATGATATTATAACAAAATAGAAAAAATTGTCATAAATGTCATACTCTAGCTATTCATTTCACAGTTCCACAGATTTTCACACATTACTTTCAGTAATTCAATTTTCCAGGTACACCTTGTTAAAAATTTTTATTTGTGTTTCTTGATTTGTATGCAAGTGAAAGTTGAAAAAACTTGAAAAAGGGTCTATTTTAATTTCTAACTTGGTAACTATGTCCATTAGTGATCCAAATAGTTATCAGTGGCATCATATTACATCATATTGGCTTCACTACCTATATACATATCTTCTTTGCAGTGGTATGCAATTGCACTCTCTAATGTTGGTAACTATGAAGGAAGTAAGGCCAAATTACAGAATGCCTACACCATGAAGGAGCATTTTGAGGTAGAAATAATAAACCTAACTGAATTGAAAGTGTCAGTTACTATAAAATACTTGAATTAACACCAGGGGTGCTAGTTTGTGTCAAGGAAGAGGAGGGCTAATAATTATTAGAAGAGAGCACCTCAACATTTTCTTTGTTTCAAGTACAACAATGTTCTCAAGTGGCTCATTCTCTAGTGGTGGTACATTTTACGCTATATTCAGATACACACATCATATGGGGGCATGGCACATGGCATGGGGGGCACTTATTCAAATGGGGGTGGTAATTAAAGCTATCACAGGTGATTTAACATTAACATCGTAACTGATGAAGATGAAGTGGGCTTTTTACATAACCTCAAAAATAAATCTTTTTTCGCAGTTTTATGCACTGTCGAATGCATAATTTTACAAGAAAGTGCCAAGGAGCTGGAAAAAATATTTCTTTGATATTAATAACGGATTATACTTTGTTTCTGTTCCATGCACTTAACTATATTACTGGTGTAAAGAATGTTATTTTCTGTCCTGAGTTTTCATTATGTAGGGGTTCATTATTTTGGAGTTTCCTCTCTATAGTATGTGATATATGTATAATAAAGTGTTCCCACCCTTGTCTTTTTTTGTATAGGTAATAGCATGATTAGTAGTGATATTTGGCATAAATACCACGAGTTATATTTCAAAATTGTTATACGTAATTTCATGAGCCGTTAGGGGAGTGAAATTGAGACAATTATTTTTGAAGTATCATGAGTGGTATTTTTGCCAAATCACGTACAAATCATGCTATTATTTGTTTACACTACTACCTGCGAAAGGTTTGTAATTTTCACATGTAGGTATTTCAAATTAAGCTGAAATACCACTGCTCTAAGCCAATCAAATATCAGAAATTTCTTATGTAGTAGTATAACATATTTAACCAATGATGGTTCAGATTTAGCCAGGGTTTAACTACAAGCACCTGCCATTGCTAACTCATGCACACAATTCTCTTCTAATCAGAGTGCATGCTCAATTATACAAACATGGGGAGAGGGGATGGTTGACTTAAATATTTACATATCCTACACATACATGGTTTTAATTTCTCAAAACTGCAACTGATGCATTGCTTCATATAATATTAACTTCACGCTGGCACTTACCAGTGGCAGATTCAGATCATTAAGTAAGTAGGGGCCCACTCATCCCAATCCTGAGATAAGAGAGGGACCCAGCATCAAAAATTAATTTTTCTTGCCCCTGTGGCTCAGTTTGGCATAAAAGTAAGAAGGGCCCCTTGGCCCCTGCCCCTCCCCTCCTGTCCCTAGATCCACCACTGCTTACTTTAAGTTACTTAAAATGTTGTACTACACTTTGCAGAAAGCCATTGAGTTAAACCCGAATGATCCTACATCTCGCCACTTAATTGGTGTCTGGTACGTATTCAGTACAATTTTTAAAGCCTTGTGACTTACTGTAGAGTTCTTTAAGCATTATTCCCTCCTGGAATTAGTAAATCCCAGATAGTAATGACTAAACTTTGTAGGTGTAGCCCCTAAGAACATCTGCAGGACACATCTGCATGGGGCTGACTCATCCCCGGTCATCTCTGTTTGGATCCCATGTAGAGAATGGAACATGAGAAGCGTGAACAAATGAAGCGCAAGGGTTGATGGGAAGAAGGAAACTTGACCACCTATTGACCGCGTTTCTCTCCTTAATATTAGGGAGGCCTAGAAATGACAGGGATGAGTCAGGTGTGGAAGGCTATTGTGGGCGTGACCGCAAATAAATCTTGAACGTAGCAGCCTCTAGGACAGAAATGGCCTCCCTCTGAAAGTAACGCCACAAAGAATACCTGTCGATCCAGAAATTTGTCTAAGCAATCTATTTTTGCAAACTCATGTTATGCAGTGTAAAAACGAATGCCGATTTACAGATTGATTTATAGAAACATGGCAACAGGAAAGATTCATCAAGTTGACATTGAAAATCATATTGCTTTATGATACCATATTTATAACTAACGCTTTCAGGGTTGAGGGGAAGAACCTATCCTCTACAAAATTAGTGTCTAGAAAAGGATTGAAGGCCGACTTAACCTCAGTATAACAGCGACAACTCTTTAGCTTGCCATTCAAGTGTTATTCGAGGGGCCCTTTAGTTAAATAACAGCTCAATTCCATTTTTTTTGGATAGAGGTGTATGGCTGAGGCATTCAAAAGCTAACCCTGTTTAAGACAAAAACCATTCATTCCCCCCTGTTTAAGACAAGAGAACTTTTACATGACCCTGATTAGATCGTAGTTTGATCATTTTAGAGTCATTGTTTGTGCTACGAATGTAGACTGCGCACTGCTATCGTTCACAACCTGTTCAAGGCTTGCGGTGCGGAAAAATAGCTTTGTCCAAGACGTTAAATGTATACTTTGTTTTTGGCAACTTAACCTTTTAGGCCAAATAAAGCTGCCACACCGATAGTATGAAACATAAAGTCGTTACTCTCTAACCATGTAAGAGAGAATGTCGGGAAGCGGCTAAAATTGGGCCTGATCTCAAGTTATTACTCTCGGAATGTTATCATTAATCAAACACCAGTAAATACCGTCTTAATAGTAGAACCCAGACAAGCCAATCAGAGCACGATCCATATCATTAGAATTTAAACGAACAAATCAGAGTAATAATTTAAGGCATTTTATTAACTCCCCCTCCATTTTGACAGCCAAGTCCAAAGTAATATCACGTATTTCCCCACTCCAGAAACTATTGGGAGATTGGGTATGAGCTTTCAGAGCAACGCGTTCTGGGATCATTTGGGTGGGCAGTGGTTGCTTATGATTGGTTAATGGTTGCCTTGAATACCATACCCCAATCATAAGTAACACTTGTCCACCCAAACGATCCCTGAAATCGTTGCACCGAAAGCTTGTACCCATTCTCCTTATAGATTATGGAGTGGGGAGTCAAACCATCAGGTAAGTGGAATCAAACGTTTTTTAAAATTGGTGTGTAAATATAACAACGGCCGATTTGCGTAAAACAGGTCTTGAAATGAGGAAATGACGTTTCAGAGAACTTAGCTCTTAAATTCCCCAGCGAGGGCAGGGCCATGTCTCTCACTCCACTACCCCCCCCCCCTCCCCCCAGGAAAGTCCGCCCGTGGGTTATTTTTTCCCTTACCTACTGAGCTAAAATTTAAGGATAACACTGGTAGCTAAGTCTCAGGTTATTTGCTCACTTTCATGTGCGAGCCACGTAGACTGTGAGTTTGTAATTAATGATCTTTCATTTGTGGTAGGTGTGTGAATGGTTATTATTTAGGTCTTTTCTTTGCTCAGGTGTTTCACATTTGCTGAAATGGGTTGGGTTACAAGGCAACTTGCAGCTACACTCTTCGCCTCACCGCCATCTTCAACATATGACGAGGTATAATTTAGTCGTAACTTTAAACGTAATTTAGGTATGCATCACGTAAAAAAGGGTGTAGGGGCACTACCGAAGCCAAAGAGCTTAAAAGTGCAGAGCTCGGTTATGCCAGTTTCTGTAACATACAACTTCGTCGTCAGTGCTTTTCCCTTAGAAATGTAATTAAGCAGCCTTTTTTTTGCTTTTCGCACATGCGCATTAGCCTTTTTTTTGGCGAATCTATCTCAATAGGCCATTTCCGAGTTCCCCCGGGCCTCTGTATCAAAACGAGGTTAAGTGCTCAGCCTTTGATATGCAAATAATTTTCTCATGCAAATAAAACTCATTTTCACAAGAAAGGTTGAGCACTTGGCCTCATTTTGAAAGTGATGGTTTTTGGAACTCGGAAGTGGCCTTTTTTTCTACCCTGCGAGCAGAGGTTTCTTTCTTAGCATTTACGAAGTCGTTCGCGTCGCTTGTCATTCGGGTACTTGGTATGTTTTATGCGACACGGGCTGACTAACTTTTTAGGAAAAAGGACAAATCAACTCGGCAAAAGGTACAGTTAGTAAATAGCGAAATTGACAGGGGATTTTCCCCCAAAATAACTGCTACTTGTTTTTTTGTGTGTAGCTCTACCTGGATAAATAGACATTTTTAAAACGAAGTATCAGTGAGAAGATCTATCTTTGCTGACGTTGCTGCCTACCAAATAAAGAGCTGAAAGTGAAAGCTGAATGGGTCCCGGGGGAAATATGCATTGTCCCATATCAGAAACTCATAAGGGGTGCCCATATCGAAAGAAAACGACCAAAGCGGTCGTAAAAGTCTTAAACCATTTAAACTACCCAGGGAGGTGGTTTAAGGGGCTGGTCGTTTATTACCTGTGAGGGGGGTTGGAGCGGCGATTTTGCTGGGGGGTCGTTTTCAAAGCAGTGATTTTGTTACCTCTGCGTCCTTCGTCCCTGACACATCAGAATCGCCAAAGACGCACAAAAGTTCATGGCACGCGTCCCGTAGGAGGCAAAGATCGATCGATCTGAAGATGTTTTTGTAGAATATCCTGTTCGTGTGATTTCTGTGGCTGTTCTGATTTTAGTTCAATTTTATGTCTCCGTTATTAAAAAGAGCGCAATTTGGAAATATTTCGGAAATATCAATTGTTTTAGACCTTCATGCCTTAAACCCTGTATCCGTATTAAAATGAATCGATGAAAAAATGAATTGCGAATTAATGATAACAAACCATATTTGTCTGTGTTATCAGTTTGGCCAGAATTATTATAATAATAACTAGTAATAACCAAAGGTTAGGGAGTGTGGGCAGCAGTGATCGAAGGTCAAAACGCTTTTGCTCCATTGCTATGATTTGCGTAAGTTTTACGTGACAGATGGTCAATACGCGCGTGATGAAATTGCGTTCCGTGCATTACATTCATTCTTAGTGGAAGTCCAAACAAAAGCTGGCTACGTACATGCGAGTCCCGACGCATGCGTAAAAACAACCTGGAGATCAGGATTGCGGGCTCCTCTTGTCGCCCCCAATAATAATAATTTTTAAAAATTAAAAACGCGCCTATATCTATCCGAACGTAACACAGAAGCCTGTGATCAGGCGGCCCTTCTTCTCTTTTTTCCGACTTACGCGCTTTCCCCCAAAAAAAGAACGACTGATTTGCTAGGCCTTTGAGATAATGAAATCATTAACATTTCGTTATTATTTTCAGGCGTTAAAACATTTTCAAAAAGCGGAAGAGCGTAAGTATTGAGCAAATAATCTACCTTCACACAATTATCATCCAAGGTCAGATAAGCTGGGGGAAAGGGAGAATGTTAAAATTTTTTTTTTTTTGACGCGTTTAATACGTTTTTTCGTGTACTAATGAAGGTACACGCATGCTCGTGAAGGCTGTTCCTAGAAAACCACAGACACTTTCACTTGCGGGATGTCATTCAACCTCTTTTCCAGGGCACCCTACAGAGGGACGAGAAGGAGAGAGCCCTTAGCCGGTGTACAGCCGCCCCCCCCCCCCCTCAAACGAGATTGGACGTCATTCAGAGAGTACCGCAAGCTGCCGTTTAAAGCTCCCAACTTTAAAGCCCAACCCCCACCCCTCCCGGTGAACAGCCTATCTACTAGTAAGCAAAAGATACATTTGATTACAAGCTCCCCTCTAACTTTAATTTTTATGCATCAAAATGAATTCGATTTATTATGACGTTTTGCCGTTTTGCTGGAAGCTTTATTTAAAACCAGTAAATGTAAACGGATTTTGATAGTTTTTACAATACTATAACAGAAAAAACGAATAATGTCACTGGTTCGGAAGCGATCTACTTTTAGAATGTTGAAATGAAGACCGTGGCTATGGGTCAGTTATTTAAACGAAGTCTAACTTAAGGCACTTTCCATTGGTCAGAACTGGCCGGCCGGATTATGGCCGGACTGGTCATTTTGACAATGAAATAGGCCTTTTCCGCCAAGAGTTTTTGATGAAAACCCATTTCCTTCGTGCATATTATTTAAGACTTGACTAATCTGGCTGGATAGTTTTGATTAAAAGTGAGATTCTCATTGCGAAGGGAATGGTCCGCTGGCCAGTCAGTTCTGACAAATAAAAAGCGCCCTTAGACCGCGGTTTAGGAAATCTTTGGACCTCCAGATCCCTTCCTTAGTGGGTTATAGTAAGAAGACAAATGCTTTTCTAGTCTACGCCATATGCCTTCATAAAACTCTTTACGAAATATGGTGTTTAAGTAAAAACGTTCGGCAAACTGAAAATGGTTTAGAACGCGGTTTTGTTAAACACTGGCTAAACTCCGTTTAAATAACTGGTCCTATAAGTTTGTTGGGAAATATCTGTCTGTTAATACGGTGTGCCTAGTTAATTGACAGAGAATAACTTTCTTTTTCCCCGTGTTGCTCAGTGGAACCAAATTTCTACAGCCAAAATCATCTGCTACTTGGAAAAACACTTCTACGACAAAATAAGAAGGACGAGGCAAAGAAATGGCTTGAGAAAGCTGCGTACAGCAATCCGTGCAAAACGGTAGATGATGAATCGGTGAGCACTATACTGTGACTGCACTATTTTACAGTGTGCGATTCAGAAACTCCATGGAGAATGGGTACAAGCTTTTGGCGCAGTGATTTCTGGAATCATTTGGGTGGACAAGCGTTAGTTATGATTGGTGGATGGTATTCAAGGTAACCATTAACCAATCATGAGCAACCGTTGCCCACCCAAATGATTCCAGAAATCTTTGCGCAGAGAGTTTGGACCCATTCCCCTCATAGTTTCTGGAGTGGGGAATAGTATTTCGTCTCATTTTGGCTAAACGGGTGAAATATTGATCTCGGACCTGAGACAGAAAGGCATCATATTGAGAGCTTTGATGTGGGCGGTGACGAGTCTCTGGCCTCAAAAATTAGTTTGTAGGAGTCAAATCTATTTGGCGAGAGCAAAATTGATGCTGATTTCTGACCAGGCCAGAGACTTGGTTAAAGAGTGTTTCGAAAGCGGGCCTCTGTGTCCCTTTCAAAACGGCTCGTTTACATCCGGGATCTTGAATAATTGACTCTGTCAGGAAAGTTTACCTGAGGTTACGTGGAGAAAGCAAGAGTTATTGAGAGAGAGAGTAATTTTATGATATTTCTCCCGTATTAATTGTGGAAACATTGTACCTGGTTGGTTGTGGATAGTTTTATCAGTGCCGGGAAAGTGGTTAATTGTGTGATTTCCTGAAGTTGTTGACAGACAGAATTCAGGTATTTCGTGGTGCTCGTGTTACAAGAATATTGTGTTCAAGCATAAAAACGCTTCGTGAGTGTTTAGTTGAAGTGATTTTGTCTTAGACAACCGAATTCTGGGCTCAAGGAAGGTGGATTCTAGGTCTGTTTTAGACTGTTTTATGAGCCCCCTAGTTTGAGAGAATGAAAGGTCATAATTTCTGGGCAGGTTACCCTGCGAGCAAGCTCTCCACCAGAGCGCCCAGGAGAGCTTACTCGCAGGGTAGCGCTTTTAAATGTTGTTCATTTCATTACAAATCTGTCGTTTTTGCCAGGGCGACTTTTCCTGTGTTGCTAGCAATAAATTTGTCCTTTTTAAGCCCTAACTAGCGACTTTCAACTGCTTTTTATTCACCTCAAGGGTCAAATTGTTAAAACGCACTTGAAATTTCTATAGTTACCTTTTAACAAATCCAGTCAGATATATATTTTATTTTTTAGAAAAGGCGTCAATAATCAACACTATTTAGAAGAATTGTAGAAGAAAATTCGTCGACGGGAAATTGACGTGTAGACGAAATTTTCAATTGTTTTGGAGAAAAAATTATTTTAAGCAATCTGTTGTTGTTTGTTTGTCTGTTTGTTTTTTGTTCACCCTTTCAGACAGCGTAAGAACTCTTGAGAACTGTTTCTTGAAAAAAGACAAAGGAAAATTCATAGAGAATTTGGTAAACAAAACACCAAAGCTAGATGAGTTATGTGGCATTTCTGTTATTCTTAACTTAATGACTTGTCCGCAAATTTGGTGCGCGCGATAGCGAAGTGTGCCCGCGCGATTTTGCCACGCTGGGTAGTCGACCTACCCGAACCACGTTTTCACTGTTGTTGAAACTTTCGAATATTTTCTTCTAACATAGAAACCTATTTTTTGCAGGCAAAGAAAGAGGCGGAAGAGCTCTTAAAGAAAAACTTTTAAAGACAAGAACTTTTTTTCTTAGAATTTTCCTTGGAAACTGGAAATTAAGTATTTATTGGCAACTAGGCCAGAATTGAATTTAAAAAGAGCTCTTCATTCAGTGCCGGTAAATTGTAAATACCAGGCCATTTCTTTTTTCAAATCGCTACTCTTGGACCTCTTGCACCGAAATATTTGTTGGTATTTCCAATATACATTGGCGTTTTCAAGAGGACATGACTGCAGATGTTCAACAAATGCTGCCTTAACCGTCTAATTCATACGCAGACTCATACAATCATTGAGAACGTAAGTTGTACAGCTGTCCCACAACACAGAGTCCTGGCTGGTTATACCTCAGCTTCTGAATGCTTTTCTTCGCCATTATGTTCTTGTTCCTCTGCCCTATTTCTGATAAATGGGCTTGATAAATTAGCTTGCTCTGAAGAAATGAAATGACTTTTAATAAACGACAACTTGGTTCTCATTTATAAAATAACAGTTTAATATCCGACTGAACTTCTTTGTGGCCTTAGGGTTGAGTGGCTTCAGCTCTTTGGGCTGTGTTTTCTGGGCGAATCAGGCGTGGTAGCGTACAGTCAAACCCCCACTAACGGCCACCTCTCCACAAAGACCACTTCATTTTTTCCCGCCTGGGCGAACAGTCCATACATAGACTCTTATTTAAACCTCTCTACAACGGCAACGGTCACTAAAGCGTGTTTTTTTTTTTGAGAATGGTCAGGACATTTCATACCGTATTTTTTTTTTTTTCATTTATACATTTTGATCTTTTTTTTTTTCCATTTATACTGCTGCTACGATACTTATAGCGAATGTTGCGAACCTTGCTCGTTCTGTCCCGTTAAAATGTGGTCCTAGTTTTTTGTGTATTTTATCTCTTTTATAATTATTTCTTATAACTGGATTACCGTTATGGGATACAGTAAGCGTGAACTTAGCACAATAAACAAGTTGTACTCCCCTAGAAAAATTTGTCATATTACACTCCTACCTCACTCCTGCCTCCTGTCCACAACGGCCACTTTCTTTTGTCCCTAGGGTGGCCGTTTTTTTAGGGGAGTGCAACATGTTTTTTTTTCGTGGACAACAATGGCTAACATTTCTGGATATTTTAAACGCATTGTTAGTTACTGCTGTTCACGTGAAAATGAAACTTGGAAACAATGCCCTTCAAAAATGAGAGGCTCTCACTTGTAAACACAAAATTTCTGACAAAAAAAATTGTTAGCGAATTGTAGCCTTTATTTTACTACCTTACAATATATCAATAATCTTGAAACTCAAAGGTCATATAAACGACGGTTAATCTCGAGAATATATTTTTTTAAAAAAATCTATCGTGCGGTTTAAAAATTATTTGCTTAGTTGTTAAAGTGGACCAAAATGTTTACAAAACCGCTAACAAGAGCGCCTCGATACATACTAATGAAATCATTCTTTCTAACAATCGGCTGAAGTTATCTCCATGATCTTTCACGCAGGTTTTTAAAAAGATTGAAACTACTATGAGGTGAAATTGCATTTTAAAGTCGCCTCGTTTTCTACAGATGACGGCCGAACATCAAAATTATCCAGTGTATACCGCATTTCTAACCGTAAAAAAAAAAATATATATATATATATATATCGTTAACGCTCTTACAGATTTCGCTGAAACTCTGGTCCACGCGTTTTTCACCTCTGGCCTTGAGTTCTGTAACTTAGTTCTATACGGCCTTCCTGGCTACCTCATAGAACTCCTTACAGAAAGTTCAGAATGCCGCTGCTAGCATTGAAACGCTGACTGTAAAGAAGGAGCATATCACGCTTGCCTTAATATTATACAGTCTACACTGGCTCCCAGCTGAACTAAGGATAATTTTTAAACTGCTAATATCTTTCCCATCTCATTGACATCTATGTACTTGAACGTAATCTCCGGTCTGCGCAAAGTCGGAGATTAGTTCAACCAGCTTGAAACTTGCGCACCTATGGCTTTAGGGCGTTTTCATGCGCATCTGCCTTTTTATGGAATTCTCTGCCACGCCAAATAAGGGTTTCTTCTTCCTTAAGCAGTTTTAAAAGGCAGGTTAAAACCTACCTTTTAAAAGGGCGTATGAACAGGCGGGGCACTAGCTAGCCGTTAGGCATATACGTTCTGTTTCAGTGCTTGTAGATTTAAATTTTCAATTATTTTTTAAACAATTGTTCTACGTTGTAGTTTAGATTTAATTTTTGTATTATTGCTTTTCTAGCCTTTTCTAGTTCCAGGTTTTAGTCTTTTTCAATAACATTGGTTGTAAATTTTGTTTTTCCAGCCTTTTTAATACTTAGAGTCTATTTGTAAGCCATTTTTATATTGTAAGGCAGGTTTTTTATCTCTGTGAAGCAGAAAATAGGGCATTACTTTTATGGATATACAGTGGAACCTCTCTAATACAGACACCGAAGGGACAGAGCGAAGTGTCCGTATTATAGAGGTGTCCGTATTTAAGAGGTCACTACGATATCGTCACTTTTATGACTCCACTTACAGTTTTAAGTGTTCAGTAGCTAAAACCAGGCTCACACTCGTCTTTAAACTGCATTTAAATTTATCAATTCACAGTGCAAAGACACTGTCTTTCAGTAGCATACAACATTGTACATGTTAGCTACAAAGTAAGTGCAGTCGTAGACAAATCACTGTTTAAAACGAAACGAGGTACAGCGCAATGCTCCATGTAAAAAGTTGTAAAGTAAAGCACAATGCTGAAATCTTCTTTCGCTATTTTGCAAGTGCAGTAAACAGTAACTAGAGTACAAAATGTAATAGAAAAGATCCTTATGCTATCTGTAATTATTCAAGCATTAAACACGTCGGTTATGTTCCTCTGTACACCTTTTGCAAATCGTTGTTTCATATACAGCGACTGGGCTTTTAAATCACCTTGCATAGCTCATCAGCCAGACGGGATTCGGGATTCATCTGATCACCACAGTGTCCGTAATAAAGAGGTTAAGTTTATATGAATTTACTTTCTGGGGCCGAGATTTAGTGTCCGTTGTCCTTATTAGAGAGAGTCCGTATTATAGAGGTTTTTTTTTTCTTAAGAAAATGTATGAGAATTTTGACGGGACATTGGAAACTGTCCGTAATAGAGAGGTGTCCGTACCGAGAGGTTCGATTGTAGTGCTATACATTAAGTAAATAAATATTGAACGATTTTGGAAGAACCGTTCACAGTGCCGAGAAATACAGCTGCAAGTAAAA